TACTGAGAATTAGAATAACATGTACCATTGCAGGAATTGATACATTGAATAACACTACCACCGTTTGTACATCCTTGTATGGTTGGATCATAGCAGCCATTCGATCCACACGGTTGTTGTCCATTGGGACAGGTAAATGATAATACACGAGCAGTAAATAGTATGAACAACAAACTAATGATGTTTATATTGTTTTTAGCCATCAGATGTTGAAGTACTTGTTTTTATAACGAAGTATTGAGGTAACTATGTTTGAGGTTTGTCTTTAATAAGCTTTGTTGTACTGTATAGATATTGTATTTTTTTGAAAAAATTACAAGCTATATATAGCGAGGGTGTCGGAAGAAACTGTCATGGTCGGAAGTTTCGACTCGGAACTTGCTCCTGCGCAATAAGACTCGAAATATATACGAAAAAGCAATAAAGTGTGACGGATAGGAACAAAACTCGGAACTGCACAATTTCGTAAGTAAAAATCATGCATTATATATTGGCTCATATACGCTCTTTTCTTCACATCAAAGACAATATGTGCACCCATAATACGCTTCACTAGTTACTTTGCTTTGCACTAAAAAAATACACGTAGCGTCAATACACACGTGACGCAAATTTTCATAACAATGTTATAATATTAACAGTGGTATTGCTAAAGACGTTTCGTCTGACACTTTTAAAGAATCAAAACATTGAATACTTATTATAAAATTTGATAGTTTTCGTACTTTTCACTTCAAATCTCATATACGTTTAATGCAAGTATAGAAGTACGTTGATTAATTTTCTAAAGACAAGATTCAGACAAAAAGAGTAAGACAAGCATCTTTTACATCAGGAATGACAAAAAAATCTTAGCTATAGAAATTAAGACGATGAAGAATCAAGTAACATAAGCGTCAGGATCATCGATTAGTGATATCATTTTTATGATATATAAATCAATTAATAATTCAATCAGTGACAGAAAGAAAATATAATCTCTATAAATTATAAATAATTATAGTTATATTTTAAACTTATAAATGTATCTAGATCATCTGTATTGCACATGAAGCTTCTCAGTTATTTGCATCTGGTATAGTCCAGTTATGATTAGTTTAGTATTTACCGGTTCTTATCGTGTTAATAGCTAACGTTCCTGATGAAATTATAGTCAATAATTTTTAATTACAACAGAACACATTTATTCGATTCAAATATCTTATGTTGTATCATCTTCACCCTGACATTTTTATTCTAATTTTATTAAGCATTGAATAATCTTGATATGATAAGAAATAATTTTCTACTTATAAAAAAAGATTTTTAAGAAAGAAAATGTTGCTTATACCATAACCAAACGAAAAACAACACACCACTAATTAAACAAAAACAAAAGAAAAACAGCAGAAAAGTCTCGAAACAGTATAATGCATCTTCTGAAAGCAAAGGAGTTGCTAACTTTGGATGAGCTTGCTGACGAATTTTTACTTTTTCAACTTTACGATGTTCCCTTCGACGATTTTGGAACCATATCTTTAACATAAAAAAAAATAAATAAATGAATTTCTTCTAAAGAAAATAATAGTTTTTATATACCTGAATTTTTATTTCAGGTACATTGAATTTTAATGCAAGTTTTTCACGTTGAGATCTATCTGGATAATAGTGAACATTAAAAACTAAATATAAAATATTGGATTTCCTCATTTTTATTTTAATACGAAAAAAAAAATACCTTCTTCTAAAAGATCCTTTTGTTTTTGTGTAAATATTGTTTGATTATTTTGTACATTGACACGTTCTCGTAAATCATTTTCATTTAAATTATCTTTTGTAATTGGTTTCCTATATTCTAGTGATAAAAAAAATCAATATTATTGTAAGAATTAATTGAATAACGAAACTAATATTTTCATTGAAATTCTTGATTTTTATCAATTAATAATATATTTTATTACCTTCTAAATCTTGATTATTGATTTGATGTTTGTCTTTAGAATTTGAATTTTCAGTTAAACCAAGATTTTTTAAAATTTTATCGATTGATGATATCTGAAATGAGAAAATATCTCAAGAATAGAAAAGTTTTCTTAATAATAATTTATCGGATGACATACACTTGGAACGTCTTCTAACTTGCAATTCATTTCATTCACAAGACAATCCTGAATTTCCCATGCAAAGACGGATGAATTTATATGTTTAAATTCAAATATTGTTTTTATAATATCAGATTCAGTTACACAAGATTCTAAATAAAAATTGTCATCGCTGATGATGATTGATTCAGTACACTTACTTTTATTGGGTATTGGTTGTCCATTATCAAGATCCATTGTATAGATAAACTAAACTATAGATTAAAAGATTTTTTATTTACGAATAGTCAAACGTAAACGTTTAATGTTACTCGTCTATAATAACTACAGGCATACCTCAAAACTATTTAGCTTGAATAAATTGGAATGATTGTTTGT